CAATGAATCAAAAGTAATTATTCGATGAAAATAAACAAATTTTACACACTCGTAAAATTTGTCAGGGAAAATAAATCGAAATTGTTCTATAATACTTCGATTTATTTTCCCTAACAAATTTTATGTTTTCTCACGTGTATTTATGTGTTACATATGATTAGATGAAAAAACAAATGAATTGTTCGATGTAAAGTTCATGTTCATGTTTTAAGCTCAAGCAGGGGCGAATCTGAAAAAAAAAAATTGGGAGGGGCTAAAGCAGTTATTGGAACTGGATTGTGTTTGTTCCACTCGTGAAAGTTTGATCTTATATCATTTATATATTTATATGAGACAAGCTAGAACGACTATTCAAACTTTTTTATTAAACAAATCGAGTAGATTGAAGCTTACACAAGCCGAGTTTGAGCTCATATTTAGTTTATCTGTGAAATAGTTGAGCTGATTCGACTCATTTGTTAAACTATCACAAGCTTAAACATGAAGTATTCAACTTGACTCGGCACGAATAATATTTCTAGTGGAACTATATATAATTTTTAATCTCTATCTCTTTCACACACACACACATATATAGGCGTAAAATTGCATTTCAAGATAAATAAAATAATTAATAAATTACACTACAAAAGACATAACTTCTTACTTTTGGTAGTTTAAATGTTCAACATTCTTGAAATTCACGAATCTCATTGATAATTTGCTCGATATTAATACAAATGCTCGATATTATACTATGAAATGCCATACTTTGATTTGTATGCACTATAAAGTATGACATTTATGTATGAAAGTATAAAGATATTTGTTGGAAGAGTGTGGTTGTCTAACTATTAAGTAGCCACGAGAAGGCATACTGTGGTATTAATAGTTCTAGCAGTTCTCTTTCGAACCATTGAAATGCATATGTTGCATGTTATTCTATTCCAAATTTACTCTTTAATTTTTTAATTGTACGTAAGATCGAATACAAAATATTATAAAATAAGGTTGAAAGGGTTCTTAAACAAATATGATGCAGTTAAAACTAATTAGTAAATAGAACTATGCAATAATTTGTAAAAATTATGGGAATACGTATAAATTGAATATTTTTTTATATATGTTTAATCTATAAACTATATATATATATATATATATTAAGAAATTTAAGTTTTAGAATATATACATACATACATATATATTAAAAAAATTTAGAAGTTTGGGGGAACAATGGACCCCTAAGCATAGTGTAGATCCGCCCCAGCTCAAGGGAGGAACCGAAACTGAACATATATTTATTTTTTTTTTTCTTTTGCTTGCTTAGATGTATAGTTCATGTTCATGCTCGCTTAATTGATGAAGCAGTAGCAACATATGGGTATAAAAATGAAGCTAATTAATCTTGATTATTGATGCAGGGAAGCAATATTGGGTATAAAAATGAAGCTAATTAATCTTGATTATTGATGTAGGGAAGCCTAAGAGTGAGACGATATTAATGAGATTGCAATATCAAGAACATCTAAAAACGATATCAAATCACCTTTTCATTCAATAATTCATAATCAACCAAGGAAAAAAACTAGAGGGAGTCCTTTATATAAAACCCCCTACCCTAAATTTTAACTTTTCCGCTAAGCCACTAAATAATAACTAGTGTGTATCCCGTGCGCTGCACGGAGGGGTTTTTACTTAAAACCTTTTCTAAGACTTTATATTAAACATAGTTATTTATGTTTAACATCTTATTATTATAAAAAAAGAAATACCAAATATGAAAAATTATATATTATTTATTTGAATATAATGAGTGTCCCCAACCAAACTAATAACATCCAACATATGATATATGATAAAATTAATTATATGATCGTCATACTTTTTGAAAAAATATACATATATTTCTAATAAACATGTAAGATCCGCATTTAAATTTGTATTTGGATATGAGATGAAAAATGAATATGTACAAATAAAAAAGTATCAAGAACCTACATAAAATAAGATTCTTTATAAACTTTAAAATATTTTGTAGTTAAGCAAATATTAACAAACAAAATCATCAATTACATTTGACCTTATCGAATATAAAATATAATTTATGATATCATTGACCATATTTATCCGTTGTATTTAAAGTTATCATTGACCATATTTTTATGAATTAAGGTTTACAAAATATCTTTTTCAAAATGACAATTTTTTTTTTTTAATTTGAATTTGACTTTTTCATCCAACCGCCATTTTCCACAAAAATACAAATAGTATTTTGGAAAATTTTAGACGTGAAAATCAAATAAAATTAATTTAATAGTAATCGATTAATTTAATATTATTCAAAATTGTTTAATTCGGTCAACCCGATCTTAGTGCACGTTTAATTGAAACAATCGCTTACNGGCAAAACTCATCTCCATGGGATTAGCCATTCTATAGTAAATGAAAGGTTTTCTCATTCCCATATGTATAGGAATCAATTTTTCAAAAAGAAAAAAAAATTAACAAATAATAATAAAAGTATATTATTTATATATAATTTATTAAAAGTATATTATTTTTTTTTTTTTGGCCGAAACGATAGATATATTATAAAAGGGCACAAATGTGCAAAGATACAGCTACCAGCCGAATATAAGCAGCCAACAGCTGAATATAAACAGCTAACATCTGAGAAAACTGGGAGGATAGGTCAAAAGACCTCCTAGAACCGACCCCAACGGGGTAATGCTCAACAACACTAAAAAACACAAAAAAAAAACAACAACACAACACAAAGGCCCCAACAGGGTAATACCCGAGTGTCTGACCCCCACAGGGTACTAAAGTTTGACACTCGGCTCACTGGGGCCAACGACCCTTACCAAAAACACAAAACACTCGCAACAAAATACAAACACATAAACAAGAACATAAACAAGCAAAGCAACAAACATAACGAGCCCTTCCAAAGTAGCGACACCTAACCGAACCAACGGATACAAGGCGACTATGAATTCCTAAGCTAGACGAAACAACACCGAAACTGCCCAAACCACTCGGTTGCCTAACGGTGTCGAAACTCTAACCCCGGAACTACACCAAGCCACCCCACACCACGACCACTACACCTGATTGCCCCGGAAGGAAAAAAGGGTCCGCGGCCCTAGCCCCAACCCCAAACTTCGCTGGAAGCTGTCCAATGTCACCGCCCGCCGCATCTCCACTCATCAACACCATTGGAAGAAGACTGGACACGGAGACCCCTGCAAAACAAAAGCCTAGAAGGGGAGGAAAGACATCGGACATCAACGACGCCCCAATCGCCCAACCCAAAAGGGCACCGAGCAATGGAGTCGCATCCCGCCCCCGGAACAGCACCACGGCTCCACCACCTTTCAACGAAGAAGACGACACCCTGAATTGACGAATCTGCGCCGGAAAAGACGAAGACCTCGCGCCATCGCTGGGGCTCCTCTCCATGGAAACGGGTAGCAGAGAGGAATAGAAGGGGCAGGAATCCAGACGGTCAAGGGTCGGCGACCGCCGGCGAAGCTCGGCGGCAACTCTGGAAGGCCGACAGCTGAATATCGGAGGAAGTGAAGTTGAAGATTTTTGGGGGCGAGGGTTTTTTTCGGTCGGCGAGCAATTCGTTATGATTTCCAAAATGTTACCACACATTTTTTTTCTATTTTTCTTGTTTTTATTAAATTTTATTTAATAAGATATACATTGGTTAATTTTAAATTGAATCTAAAAGTCAACTCCTCACACTTTTCGAAAAATGTTACCACACAATTTTTTTTTTCTTATTATGTTTTATTTACATAAGATATACATTAGTGGTTAATTTCAAATTAAATCTAAAATTCAACTTCTCACATTCTTGAATTTGAATTTTTAAATAAGGAAATGTGTTTCCATATTTTTTGGTAGTTAGAATATGTTTCAACTCCTCACATTCTTGAATTTGAATTTTTAAATAAGGAAATGTGTTTCCATATTTTTTGGTAGTTAGAATATGTTGGATTCATTTATCTATAACTAATCATACACGTATTCAAAATTTGAACTCAAACAAAATTCTTTAAATTTTTTGCTAACAAAATCACCTTCCCATAATTTATTTATTTCGAAAAATGTTACCACACAATCTTTTTAATTTTGTTTTTCTATTAAATTTTATTTACATAAAATATACATTTGTTAATATTAAATTGAATTTAAAATTCAACTCATCACAAATTTGTATATATATATATATAGAGAGAGAGAGAGGATTCTCTTTTTTTTACATATTTAAAAAAAATCTAATCAAATTTTGAATCCCGAATTAAAATCGAATTGTAATGTGAACTGAAAAGATTTGAAATCTAATCATGTTGTAGATAAGGGAAATCCAT